ATTTTGTAACTACCAATTTGTAGTTCTTAATCCCTTTACCTTTTCCACCCAGACCCTAAACCCCGCCCCTCTGGCAACCACCAGTCTGTTCTCTATGAGTGAGTTTCAATTTTGTTTCTTTGCATTTCTAAAATGGAAAATTAAATAAGGCAATGCACAACTGTATGGACCTTATTTGGAATTGTGCTTTGAAGAATATGTTTTTTTTTATTACCTAATTGAACTATGATATTTGATGTTATTAAAAAACTAGAGGCCCGGTGCACGAATTTGTGCACCCATGGGGTCCCTTGGCCTGGCCTGCGGGATCGGGCTGAAACTGGCTCTCTGACATCTCCTGAGGAGTCCCAGATTGCAAGAGGGTGCAGGCCAGGCCGAGGGACCCCACTAGTGCATGATCAGGGCTGGGGAGGGACGCGGGAGGTTGGCCAGCCAGAAAGGGACCGAGGGAGGGCTCCAGGGTGTGTCCGGCCCATCTCACTCAGTCCCAATTGGCTGGACCCCAGCAGCAAGCTAACCTACCGGTCGGAGCTCTGCCCCCTGGTGGTCAGTGCATGTCATAGTGACTGGTCGACTGGTCGACTGTCTGCCCCCTGGTGGTCAGTGCACATCATCATAAGGAGTGGTTGAGCAGCCTTAGCATATCATTAGCATATTAACGCTTTGATTGGTTGAACGGCTGACAAGACACTTAGCAGATTAGACTTTTGTTATATAGGATTATTGTTTTTGTTGGTGTGAAAAAAATAAGGCAATGCACACAGAAACACTCTGCAAATTTAAAGTTAACTGTTTATTTGTTTATTAATTCATGTAACAAATGTTTACCCAATGTTTGTTATATGCCTGCTCCTACAGCTTAGCATAGTGGCTGGATTCAGTTGATGTTACTGAATGACTAATTGAATGACTTTGTGAGCCCCTTCATACAAATATTTAAAAAGTATTTTAAAACTGCATCAGTATAACTTATATGTGGTCCCTAGAGTAGTCAAATCATAGGGAAAGGAAGTAGAATGGTAGTTGCCAGGGGTTGGGCAGGAGGATGGGGAGCTAGTTTTTAATAGAACAGAGTTTCAGTTTTGCAAGATAAAGAGTTCTGGAGATGGATGGTGGTGATGGCTGCACAACAATATAAATGTACTTAATGCCACTGAACAGGACACTTAAACATGCTTAAGCCCTAGCTGGTGTGGCTCAGTTGGTTGAGCATCGCCCCAAGCACCAAGAGGTCGCTGGTTCGATTCCGGGTCAGGGCACCTGCCCAGGTTGCAGATTTAATCCCCAGTAGGGGGCATGCAGAACACAGTTAATCTATGTTTCTCTCCCTCTCCCTTCATCTCTCTAAAATCAATAAAAAATATATATATTTAAAAATGCTTAAGATGGTAAATTTTATGTTATGTGTATTTTACCACAATTAAATATATTGATAAAAACTGCATTGGTATAAAGATAAATATAATTTTAATATTCAGATTATTATACAATTATTAATGTATATAATTATACAATTATATTGCATGACAAACTATGGTATATTATATAAATAAGTTATAGTTCCATGTTATATATTCATGTTTCTTCTGACTTTAAAAGAAATTAAAATGCCTGGTCGGTGTGGCTCAGTGGTTGAGTATCGACCCATGAACCAAGAGATCACTAGTTGGATTCCCAGTCAGGGCACATACCCAGGTTGCGGGCTTAATCCCAGCAGGGGGCGTGCAGGAAGCAGCTGATTGATGATGTTTCTCTCTCATCACTGATGTTTCTATCTCTCTCTCCCTCTCCCTTTCTCTCTCTAAAATCAATAAAAACATATTAAGAAAAAAGAATCTAAAAAAAAATATTAAAATGAAAGCATTTGTGCCAGCCCCTCCATTAGTGTCTACTGTGGCTGGTGCAGAAATCGGCCCTGGGAAGTTGGCAGCAGGGTGGAAATGCATTTCTTTTTTCTTTCTTTTTATTGTTGACACGATTACAGATGTCCCCATATTCCTCCCAGGAAACGCATTTCAAACATTGGCATGCATCAGACTTCCCTGGGACGCTCATTAGAAATGCACAGTCCTCAGCTCTGCCCACTGGGATTCAGATTCTGTAGGCCTGGAAGGTGGCCCAGGAGGTGTTCTCAGGAGGATGGTATCTGGACCATTCCTTGGGGGCAGTGGCATATCCCCAGGTGGGGGCACCCCACACTTTTTAAAGTCCTGACTTGACCCCTCATTTGATGGGTGGCTTTTGAAATCTTTCCATTGTGTGGAGCCCATTTCTTCATCTTACGTGTGGGGATGATGACACCCACCTTATGGTATCATTGAGAGGCTCCCTGGGTGCCCACAACTCAGCCTGGGGCAGCAGCTGAAACCTCAGCTCTGAGGCAATGAAGGGGGTTGTGCAAATGTTGTTGGGGAACACTGGGTGTCTGAGGTGACACAGGGGCCGGTTCAATCAGAGGTAAGACATTGTCCAGAGGGGAGCATTGGCATCCCCATGCAAGGTTCCTGGGAAGAATGGATGGACAAAGATTCAGGCAAAGTGACAACTCCCAGCCCCAGAAAGGACCCGCAAGAGGCTCAAAAGTCAGTAGGTGGAGGCGGCAGTTCTGTGTCCTGGAAGGATATATGGCCTGCACCAATGGGCTCCTTTCTCTCTGGCTTTGAACAGGAGGGAACACTGACCAACGGAGAGAGAGGGGATATTGCCAGGCTGCCTGCTTCTGACTACTTCGTCCCTTCGGACTTACCAAAGGAAAGGCAGCTCCCCACAATAATTAGTAGCTTGGAACTGTCCCTACATCCTGCCGATGCCTTCGCAAATATAGGCAATTCTCATTATTCACTGTTGTTATAGTCTATAAAGTTGCCCAAATAAGCAACCATTGCTCCCAGCGGAAATACTGTAAGGGATAGGTTCCTTTGTCATAACATTTTTGTCAACTGCTCAACATATAACCTTGTTTTTTTTGTTTGTTTTTTTAAAGATATATCTTTTCTTTCTTTTTTTAAAAAAATTGATTTCAGAGAGGAAGGGAGAGGGAGGGGAAACATCAACATCAATGATGAGAGAGAATCATTGATCTGCTGCCTCCTGCGCACCCCACACTGGGGACCGAGCCTGCAATCCAGGCATATGCCCTTGACCGGAATTGAACCTGGGACCCTTCAGCCAACAGGCTGACGCTCTATCCACTGAGCCAAACCGGCTAGGGCCATAACCTTGTTTTGTGTGTTTCTGTTTAAAGATGCTTTAGTTAATACACACTGTTCAAAAATATATTATTATTGTGAGTCACTAATATTAAACTTAAGGCCAACAGAATTATAACAGAATTATAACTCATGGCCAAAGGAAGTTTGTCTAACACATCATTTTCTCTGTGAGGCACATCACAGCCTTTTTGCCTAAGGAATACTATAGAGCACTTCAGAAACATGCTTAGGAAACGTTTTAAACAGCAAAATTACCAACAAAAACCCCCCCAAAATATGAAAAAACATGGCACTAGGTAGACCTCAAAATTGATGCTTGGTTTTTAAAAAATTATAGTTGACATATATCTGCTTCCTGTTGGTAGGTATCCTGATTGGTACAGTGAGGAAGAACGTCTTTATCTATTTTTTATTGATTTCAGAGAGGAAGGGAGAGGGAGAGAGAGATAGAAACTTCAATGATGAGAGAGAATCACTGATTGGCTGCCTCCTGCACGGCCCCTACTGGGGATCAGCCCGCAACCTGGGCATGTGCCCTTAACCAGAAGAGAACCTGGGACCTTTCATCAGTCTGCAGGCGGAAGCTCTATTCACTGAGCCAAACCAGCCAGGGCAGGAAGGACATTCTTGACCCTCAGGAGCCCCTGGCGACCCTCAGGCTGTGAAGTCCCTCTTGAGATAAGGAAAATGGCTGTGATGTCTAATGGTTCGGAATCAGAGATGGTTCATTTGAACCCCTCAGCCCTACTCCTTCTCATCTCTGTGATCCTGGGTAGGAGGCTACTTATTTTCTGTGCATTTCCTGTCCAATGGGCAGAATTAATGCCACCTTCATGGTTGTTAAGGAGACCAGTGAAGATCCTGGTGAGCCCATGGCCGATGCTTGCAGTGTGGAGCAAGGGAGAGTGCAGACCCAGCTCTGGTCCCACTTCCTCTCTGGCTCTGTGACCCTGGGCAAATGAGTTCACCTTCCTGGACTTCATTGCCGTCTCTGTAAAATGTTGGCAGGGCTATGTCGTGTCCATGTGACTGGTTGTCTCTGCCAAAAAGATAATATTTGTAAGAGCCATTCTCCGCATATACGTGGTCAGTTCCACGAGGGAGGGACCATGCCTCTGTTGGTCCTCAGTGTATCCTCCGCACTGAACACAGCCTCTAGAGCACAGTTGCTTAGGAAATATTCGTGGCTCGATTGAACACGGTCTATCCGATGTATGCCACACCCGGAGACCTCCCCATGGGGAGCAGATGATTATGACAGCTTGGTGTGATGGGAGGGTGTCCACAGGCTAGGAGAACAGAGAGGAGAAGCTGGATGGGTGGGTGGTTGCAGCTGGTGGGCTTCCTGTAAGAGGCCATGCAGTAACTGTATCCAAAAGGATGATGTTGGCTGCACTTGGTCTACTTGTGAGCTCCCTGAGATCAGGGGCCACGGCACTCTTGTTCACTGTTGCACTCTCAGTGCCTGGCTCAAAACCTGAAACTTTGTAGGAGGGAAAAAAAAAGAAAGAAGGAAGGAAGGAAGGAAAGAAGGAAGGAAGGAAGGAAGGAAGGAAGGAAGGAAGGAAGGAAGGAAAGATGGAAGGAAGGAAGGAAGCTATGGATTTTGAAGGAGCTGTCTCCACCCTCCCTCCCCCCCAACCCCCCAACACCTCTTGCTAAATGGAGCAAAGGGCAGTGGAACTCAGCCCCAACTTTGCACTTGAGCTGCTTGGGGTCTGGGAGCATAAGTCTCCACTAGAGAGGGGGCTTCAGGGGAAGCTGCTTGACCTCACTGTGCCTGTTCCCTCAACTGGAAAATGAGGGTGATAATGACTCAGCGCACGGAGGGTATTGAATATGCAGTCACCATTCCACAGGCCTCCCACATGGGAACTCATCTGTCCTTACAAGCCTTTGAGGCGGGTGCTGCCATTCTTCCTGGTTACCGGCAGAGCCACCTGAGGCCACATAGCTTGGAAAGCCAGGCTTTGAACCCCTAGAAACCTGGTACCCAAATCCATCCAGTTGACTTGCAGGATACACCGCTCCCAACGTGCCGTAGGGTAAATGATAGACAAACAGGAGATGTCGAATAAATGTAATGATTGTTCTTTTTAATTATAATTATAATTCCGCTAGAGGGCGCTCGGACGGAGGGTGAGCCAAGGGAGAGGGAGGGTCACCGGGCTGAGAGTTTCCCAGGGGAACCTGCCAT